GTTGCTCCACTTATCGTGCACTTAACCTAAGTTCTCATACTGCTAGTTGTAGGACAATATTCGCATTGTTTATTTTATGATCCTAAAAAAAATTGAAAATAAAGATGATTGAAAAACAAAACATATTGCCCCAAATAAGTCATATATATGCCTTAGAAATATATGTAAAAAGTCTTTAGAGATGGAAATGTGAAGTTTTTGTCAAGTTACCCCAACCTGCCCGTCTGTCTCCACTCAGCGGGGAGGGCTTGCGATGGTCGCAAGTACGATCTGCCTGTCCATGATGGGCAGGTCGTACGAACTTCACCTTACAACCACCGCACGACGAAAGTCCTGCGATGGTTGTAAGGTGTATGGCCACTTTAAACCTGTTCTCATTTCTTGTCTGGGTGGCACCTGGACGGGGGAGTAAGGGGGTCACCCAAAAAGGAAATCTCCCTTACATGGTGGACAGAGATAATAAAAACAATTTGCCATTGAGGATCCCTATGTGTTAAGTCTCCAGACATGGTCCAAGACAGCCAAAATGGTGCATCTTACTGTTCAGTAGAATGTCTGTGCTGTACTAATGTAAATGGCATCATTCTCCTTCCAGCTATCTCAATGCCACATCACCAGATCGTCGTGAATCCAGCCAAACAGAGATTTGTGGAGCAGCTGGCGTTGTATGAACAGGGGAAAATAAACAGCCTAGAACTGTTGTACTCTGGAAACAGTCCAGGTAACCAGCTTTGCAGAGGTCTTCTGGCACTCATACTCTTCTCAGAGGTTACTCTGATCACATCTGTACTGCTGCACAGTATTACTTCATATAGTAAGGACATACAACATCCAATATATTCTCTTAATGCTATCCATAAAGACACAGCCAGTAATCTTGAAGTTTGTAGAAAAAAATACAGCAAAACAAATGTTTGTGCAGAATGTCTTTTTTTGGGGAATTTTTTTCTTTATTTGCCATTTTATTTATTAGGGATGCACCATGACCATTTTTTCCAGACAGAGTACGAGTACCAATACCTTTCCTCAATTACTCGCCGATACGAAGTACAGATACTTATTTATTTTTTTTGGATTGTCATGTGACAATTTCTCTAAAACAATACAGACTCATTTTGGGACAGTGGTGAAGTGCCAGGGCCCGGTCCCAGCTGCAAACGCTGCGCCCCTGGTAGTTCTGCCACTGACTCCAAGCTGTGGAGGGACTTGGCAGTATATTATACAACATTGCAGAATACCACCAGCTATAGAGGACTACAAACCCCAGCAATACACATTATACAGCAATGCAGAATAATACTATCAGTTAGAGAAGACTACAAATCTCAGCAATGCATTATACATCAATGCCGAATAATATGAAGCTACATACTCTGTTGCTTCGGGGGATCCGGCCTGATGTCAGGTTCTATGGTGGGCTGAGTGGACTCTCGGGTGTGCTATGCCGGGTCTATGGTGGGCTGCGTGTACTCTCCGGTGGCCGTTCAGGTTCTTTCGTGTGCTGTGCAGACTCTCAGGTGGTAATGCAGGTTCTATGGGGGCTGTGGGTGCTCTCAGGTGGGCAGTGTGGACTTCCAGGTGGGCTGTGCAGGTTCCATCGTGGGCCCTCGGGTGGGCTGTGCATGGTCTATGGCGGGATGTGCGGACTCTCGGGTGGGCTATGCGGGCTCTATGCTGGGCTGTGCAGGGTTAATGCTGGGCTGTGCATCTCTCAGGTGGCTGTGCAGTCTTACCCGGGCTCCCGGTCAGTCTCTGTGGTTGCGGGCCAGGAGGAAGAGATTTTGGCCGGCACTGTAAACACGTTCACAGGAAAGCTGCCAGGATCTTGCTGGGGACCTCGGCAGCCTTCCTGTGAAGAGTGGTGCCCGGCTTCGGTTCAAAGATTTAAAGCTCCGGTATCAGCACTTAGTATCGGGGTCTATTGTCCTTCCACTATGGATTCTGTGTGTTCAGAATAATTCAGTACTTGTAAAATCGTTTGATCTTTTAAAAGGGAACTCAGGGGTAACCTTTTTATCCCACGGTTCACTTTAGGGTCACCAGAGGACATATTCTAACGTCCTCCCGTGACCTACAACTCCGCATATAGCGGACTATTGCTCGCTATATGCTGAGAGCGCCGCAGCCGGGACACATCCCGGCAATACTTTTGAGATCCACCCAGCTGCGTGAGTGACAGCTGGCTCTGCCTCTCTAGAGGCAGAGCCAACTTTGCCCGCCCCGCCCCCTCCATTCCTTTAGTCAGTGCTGGAGGATCGGGGGGGTGGGGGTGGAATCCCTGCGGGGAGCGGTGACTGACAGTCAGCACTCTCTGCAGGGAGATGATCAGGCAGGTATGTGTTCACTCACTTCCCGATCAATAGAGCCGACGTGTGACAGTTTCACTCTAGCTATCGGGATGAGTGAAATTTACTCGCCTCATAGTTCTCCTTTAATACATAGCTGAAAGTGGGCAGGTCTGATGAAGATCTGGCTAAGTGACACTTGACCCGTCCAACCCAGTCTTACACATATATTTGCAAACCATAAAACCATGTCCACCTTGGAGTTTGGGGTATTCGTGCTGCACACTAAGTAATAAAATCTAATAGGCAGAGTGAGAACCACTATAATGACCTCAGCAAATATCCGTAGATTTCTCACATTGTCATTGGGTGATATAAGAAACTCAGGTGTCTCTGAAAAGACCCGGTCACCACATCTGACGAGGTCTGGTAAATACATGAGGCCAATCTGTTATAGATCTACTTACAGTAGCCCTATTTTCCTGCGAGGACTGCTAAAACAATAGTGTCTGCTTCCTTATTCTCTCGGAAAATTGACACTTCCTGGAGTGTCAGAGCATCAGACTTTCTGATCACCCACAGTCTCCCCCTCAGCCCCTACGTCATTATTCATGTTACAAATAAAAATAAAAGTGTGCATGAAAGAACCGATAATTTTCCCAGGTACTGAATTACTTTACTGAATGCCAGAAGTTAGTTTTGGAGAAGGTAGACAACAAAAACTATGAAAGACTCCATCCCTTCCCCCTCCATTCTTTCTGATGACCATTGTTGTGGAGCAAGAAAGTGAGTGGAAATCCAAAATGTTAGAGTTGTCACCAGAACAAGAGGTGATGGATAAGCATCTAAAGGGGCAAATATTTCATGACGACTGTCTTAAAATAAGAATCCCACTCGCTTTTGTGAGATTTTCTTTCACTTCCTGTTATGACCCTAGGACAGGAAATGAAGGGAAATCTGCCTATTTGAGCACAGTCGACAAAAAAATAACCTGATTTGAGCATTTAAGGTTAAAACCCCAATTACAAACTAAGAAAAAAATATCTTTGGTTATACTTGGGCATCCTGGGAATGTCTCTAAACTTCTTCCAGGAAATCACCACACGTGTACCGTGATAAATGCATAACACCGTGTATGACTTCTGTCCGCGCTCCATTTGTTCATCATCAGAAACTTCCGTCTATTACCAGTGACACCAGACAACTCATGGTATTGCTCGGCACCCTCATGCCAGCTACGTCTTTGGCAGCATTAGTGTCATGTACCTGGATGGAGACTAGGGGGGCCATCCTTGCACCACTCGTCATGACTCCCCTGGAGATAGTAACAGGAGGAATGAGGACTAAGGGAACACTAGTGCTGACGCAGTGAGCCGAGAAGGTTCTGTACTGATGCTTGAGTGCGATGACCCAATATTGTGGTAGCAGCAACCAGAGAGCAGACCAGAGCAGCAACATGTAGCGGCCAATTGCAAAAATGGTATTGGTACAGAGCCAAGGCTGCAGAATCCAGACTGAGCCGAATAGGTAATCGGAGTCGGGATCACAGGCCAGGGTCACACTGGAGAGTCTGAGAGGAAGACGAGGTGCCCAATCAGTAGGTGCAAGCAGAGTCAAGGTCACGGGCCGGGGTCATACACAGAAGAATCGGCTACAAAGACGGTGCCAAATTGGTACTCTGAAGCAGTCGAGATCGTAAGCCAGAGTCATACACAGGTCAACGGATGATCAGGACCAAGTTGCAGGGACACAGGAAGGAACTGAAGACCAGTCAGCAACTAGCTCAGGGCTCACAATGGTTTTCTATAGGCCACCTGGTGCCAAGGAATGTGCGTGCGCATGCCAGTATGCACACAGAATTTCCAGTACACACGTCTGCACACACGTCCCCGCGTGCATGAACACTAGCACCCATGTACCTGTCTGTCATTGCATGTTTGCCCATAATCATGTAAACAGGACCATGCTGCATGGTGTGTGAATCTGTGCTGGTTTCTTGGTACGTATCTTGCAATCAGGGCACAGAGGAAGCGTTTCCCAGTTAAAAGGGGGGGGGGGAGGTTGGCTGAGCGACGCCATGAGTTGGCTGGTGGCACTAGTAATTGTCTGGCAGTTTCCAATGCTGTTTGTTGGACAACGGGAGTGCGGACAAAAAGTCAAACGTGGTGTTATGCACTTTCAAAGTACATGTGTTCTATGGCTCTTTAGCCCTCATTCACACGAGAAAAGGGGGGCACGTACAGCTCCATGCTGCGTGCGCGGCCTCCGGGGAAGGACAGGTGCTGCGTGTGATTAGTATGATTAGACAGGTGAGATTAGCGACATTACAGGTGACATTAGTATGATTAGACATTAGTGTGATTAGACGGGTACGAGTCTATGGGACTACGCGGACGTATGCCGCCCTACGCTCCCCCCAAGTTCAGGTCCGTGCGGGTGTCCCGGCTCGGACGCAGACAGGTTCCCTCCTGTCAGCGTACGAGTATGCTCACCCGCACGGATGTGCAGGGCGGGTGAGCGCATGGCCCGTACTCCCGTAGAGAAGGACAGGGGCTGCGTACTAATCGCACGCAGCACCCGTCCTTCCCGGGAGCTGCCCGATACGGCCCTGCACGGAGCTGTACGTGCCGGCCAATTCCCGTGTGAATGAGGGCTAAGTGTTTAATGATGATTTCTAGGGTGAACTTTCTCTTTAATAGGCAACTACAGGAGCGCTCATGACAGGCTGGCAACCCTCCTGCTGAGTGCGGGGCAGTTATGTAGTGTTGCTGCATACAGTGAAGCACGATGCCAAACATAATGGAAACATACATGTTTGGTTTACATACACTGTAATTGCACAGGCTTCCTCCTCCTCTCTAGACTGTTGAGCTCAGACATTAATATGTGGTCGTAACTCAGCAGCAAAGAGCAGAAAGCGAAATATTGGGTTTTGGTGGACTGACCCTTTAAACTGGAAATGTTCAGCATTTATCTGCTCCTGACAATTCAGAATAACCCGTAGTAGTATTATTATTGTGTTCACCGGCATGCAGGCTGATAACTACATGTCAGGAGGCGGTATTGAATCAATAACTACTTTTCTGTCTTTCTCTAGGAAACCGCTCGGAGCCCCGGGGGTATCCGGAAGAAAGTGACGACTTTCCAAGTTAGCTTCTCGGCAAGCCTGCGATTGGGGAAAAGATCTACGACTTGGCACAAAGTTCTCATTCTACATGCAGATCCTTTAGCTTGCTGTTAGTGCTTATCTACAGGAAACTAGAATGGACGTGCAAGATCAAATGAAACGCGATGAGGTTTACACGGTGGAAACATTCTGTTGTATGGTGGGACCAGTAAAACAGTATTCCGTGCCCGGTCACTGCAGGAAGGGCTTGCTGTGTTTGTATTACGCAAAGCTGTGTTCCGAGTGACATTTCCTGTACACAAGACAGGCTGAGCTGCTTACCGCTACCTATCCCCGGCTTGTGTGTTTAATAATGGGAGATTGTTTGTTAATATTTATTGTTCCTGTTTTTTAATAGATGATTGTGCTTTAGATTGTTTGTCTGTTTGTTTCCCGATCTATTGAGCTGACGTGTGACAGTCTCATTGTCGCAGGTCGGCTAGAACTATGAGGCTGAGTGAAAATCACTCACCCTATAGTTCTCCTTGTTTAATGGTAAGAGTTGCCAATTTATGATAAGTGCATGAAACATTTGTACACTCTGTTTTGTGGTATATATTGGGGAGCGAGAGTTGGCCGTTTTGTTTTTCACTTTAACTGCAAGATGTTACTAGATCAGCACAGATGATATGTGAACTCATTCACCCATGACACCAGCATATCCGATTCCAGTGAGGCTGATTCACTAAAGGATTTGAGAATGTTCACAAAAAAGATTGTATATTGATTACTTCAGTCCTCCAGGGACTTGTTTTCCATTATTGTATAATTGAAGGCCACTTGGGGAAAGCTCACTCGTGCTCATTTTGAGTCTGGTGCAGTTCCAAGTCTTACCAGAAGAGGGTGGAAATCTACTACTAAAGCTCTGAACTTTAAAGTGACATTAAACCCTCAGATTTTTTAACATAAACCAATACTGTAATGTGTGCCTTACTGTAATCCATGGTTGTTTCCCTTCTCTTTGCTGCTCTTCCTTTTAAATCCTCATGTCTTCTCATGCTGGGCAGAACTTCCCTTTGCAGCTGAGTGCCTCTTCCTGTAGTGCTGGCTCAGGTTGCAAACCTTCACACAGATACCATGTATCCATTTCAGAGACAAGGCAGTCTGCTGCAAAACAGAAGTTCTGCCCAGCATGAGAACAGATACAGATTTAAAAGGCAGAGCAGCAAAGAGAAGGGAAACAACCATGGATTACAGTAAGGCGCACATTACAGTATTGTATGTTAAAAAAAAATCTGAGGGTTTAATGTCACTTTAAGGGGCAGGTTCACACCATTTCCTGGACCAGATCTGGAATTTGTTGCGTTTTGCCGCGTTAAATTTCAGGCCTTGCTGGGGGACCTCTGCAAGACCTACAGATAGCCAGGAAAAGAGCAGCACGATGCTTGCACATAAGAGACATGAACTTACCACAGTTGTTCAGAGCTGCTCAAATGATCATAGCCAGGGACAACCTCTCCACTTGTCCATCTTCCTATTATTGTTCTTATACTGCCCATGCCTCGGATCATACAGCTCTGGGCAGGCTTCCACAAGTTCTGCAAAGAATTCAGTGTTCACTTCAGCCATCATGGTTCCTATCCTCACAAATCTCTTCTCTCTACCGAAGCTGGAAGTCCAGGCGGTGATGATTACCCAAACTAGCCCAAAAAAATATTATTTTTTTTTGCCGTTGAGTTCCGGTGTGTTGTTGATGCGTTTCTGCACGTTCCGGTGCGTTCCACACCAGACAAAATGTGACACGCAGTATTTTTCTAGTCTGGTCTGGAACTGACTGCAGTGGTGTGAGCTGAGGCCAAGAAGAGCATAGGGAAACATTGGGATGCATTTTAGGTCCAGGAAACAATCTGGTCTGGAGGTGGTGTGAATGGGCCCTTAAGCCCAAATAAAGGTTCAGTTTAAATCCGCGAAATACATTCCAGGTGCATCAAAACAAAAGTATGTTCGTTCAATATCGTTCATGTCTTTAGAAAGCAGCCATAGCCTGAGTAGAAAAGCCTACCCTCTGCCAGCATGCTGTAGCGTAGGAGCCTTGCTCTTTAACCCTTTCGCTGCCAAGGACGTACGGCGTACGGAGCTACAAAAGTGCTTCCAGCTGGCCAGCTCAGTATGCCGTACGGACCTGGCATTTACAGTTCTACTATAAGCTGATGGTCGCTTTGGCTGCTGCCGGCCGCCGGCATCTGGAGTCTCTCATCCCTCCCTGGAGCCATCCCAGGGAGGGATGAGAGACTCCATGGATCCCCGCTGCTTGTAGGGTCTGTGGCAGCGGGGATCCGGAAAAAAAATCACGGTCGGGGGGGTCCCGGGAACGAGCGGCGGCTGGCCGCAATTCAGGATGGCCGAGCAGTGTTCCGATCCGAGCCGCTGTCATCCTGTCAG